ACTTCTAAGATCTTGGGCTCTTTATAACAGGCCCAACCCCTCCCCCCCATTTAAGAAATAGCCACTACATGATTCTACTTCCAGAAACAATACTTCATGAGATGTGTTGGGCAGCTATTTAAGAGCAATGTGAAGCATAATTAAGTGGACAGTGTGTTTCCATAGCTACTGATATAAAAACAATATTGTACTTGAGAAATTACTAGTTCAAAAGGAAGGACAATAGAAAAACCTTTATAATCTTCAGAGGGGATTGTTTCCAATCAGGATATACATGGACTCCTCTTTTTGTCTTCTTCATTTTTACCTAGTTGTCTGAAGCAGTTAATGACCATGTAAATGTGCCTTGTCACTACACCATGCATTATAAAGCATTTACTCGAGAGATTTCTAGACTTTGAAGATTGAATAGTTTAAATATATTTCTTTCTTTGAGGGTCCTCTGCTGATTTCTATTCAAATCAATGTGTGTCTCTCTGAAAATAGCCTGCAAATTTCCTCCTTTCAAAACCCATTTGTTCCAATCTGCTCTGTTCTTTCTTCTCAACAAAAACTTAGGATAATGTCATTAGTATTTTACATATTTCTGATTATTCTGTAAGACATCATTTTTTATTTGCAAAAGAATATGACAGTATTGCACAAATCCTGTTTTCACTATTATTATAGCTGTTTTTTGTCTGCTTGCTTAAAAAGATAGCTTAGGATTCACAGATGGAAAAATAAGAACTGGGATCCATAGCATTTTAATACTAGTAATCTAAAATGGGGAATTTACATTATCTGGATCAAATTTAAGTCTCTCTCCACATTTTCAGACCATAAAATATACAAAGAATCAAAGATCCCCATTCAAGACACATTATGATACTTCCCATGATATGGAAGCCCACATATATTCCAGGTACAATATACTACCATATGTGGGAAAGACATCCAAGACAGCCCGCTTTAGAAGTGAACAAGGAGGGCAGTCCCTGAGCCCCAGATCATAGGCAGCATCAACAGGATAAGATGAATCATATCTACAGATTATCAGTATAAATCAGAGAGGTGCACACTTTAACCTCTGCTCTGGACTACAACGAGTCTGAAACTGGCCTTGGCTATAGGTTTCATAGTTTCATAGTGCGTAGGGTTGGAAGGGACCTAAACAGATCATCAAGTCTGACCCCCTGCCTGGGGCAGGAACGAGTGCTGGTGTCATAACACCCCAGCCAAATATCTGTCCAGGATCTTCTTGAAGATCCCCATGGTAGGAGAGAGCACCATCTCCCTTGGGAGTCCATTCCAGAGCCTGGGAGCCCTAACTGGAAAGTAATGCCTCCTGTTGTCCAGCCTGAACCTTCAAACATGGCTCCACCCACACCTATCCTGCAGGCAGGATTCCTTGTACCCAATCCAAAAGTTTGTGCCCCCAAAACACCGCAGGGAAATCTATATTACATTACACTAATGCCATCCATTGGGAAAGGTAGATATACTTAGTTCTTGCTTGGTAAGTAAAGAGTAAACTTCTGTTCAAATATATTTTGATGTTTGCATTTGATATATTTAAATATGTGTAATGTAGTGAATGATGTATAGCATAACAGAAGAGATGTGCATAAAGTTTGGGGACTCTGTAAGAGACATCTCCTATCTATATTTGCCAAACCCTATTAGAATACTCTAGAGGCATGTCTACACATGTACAGTTACTGCACAGTAATTTAGGTTACTGTGCAGTAACTGTAAATCACTGCACAGTATGGGCATATGCCTACATGTGTGCACCCATACTGTGCAGTAACTATAGCAATTTACACTGACTTGGCCGTGCCTGAATGATGCAGGCAACAAATTTATGCCTAAGCAGTTACTGCACAGTAAGACATGTGTAGTTGCCTTACTGTGCAGTCACCCTGTGTGTGTGGACTGAACTGGGACTAACTTTAGTCCCAAGGCAGTTCACACACAGCATTACTGCACTGTAATACCTGGACATGTAAATGCCTGTGTAAAAACTGTATATTACTCAGTAAGCCAGGACACAGTAAATGGGTGTATTCAGACTCTGTTTTGGCCAGAAAACAAATGCATGGGTTTTTCATTGTTTGCCTTTGAAACTGTATTTTATTTTATTTTATCTTTTTCTTTTTTTGGTGTGGGAGAGGGTTGTTAGGAAATTAACATCCATTTTCCTATATCTGTTGATCATTTGTCTGTTTAGTGAAGTACACCTCTTTTTCTTTTGTATGGCTGACTTGGAGCAACAATTATAAGTCCTGTTTAAGTTCAGTTAACCAATCTAATGCTCTTGAGGAAAGGGAATGTATCTCTGAAATGTCACTGTTAAAGCTGTGAAGTATGCTGAATAAGGTATTTCACTCATTTACTTATAAACTGTTATAGAAAGAATAAATATTGGGAGTGATGAAAGGAGATAATTTTGCATTTGAGAACATGAATCACTGAGTAGATGCCTAAATGCATGGTTTCGACCCCCAAATGCCAATCCAAACATTCAGATTTGGAACTGGGTATCCAAGGTTTTAAAACAGAACTGGTAAAGGGGAAATTTCTTGCCATGTGCTTCTATCCCATTCAGTGTATGTTCTGAACACTACTCCCATATGATATAATAAACTAAATAACTGTTTCACATATATGGAATAGCCAACAAAATAATTAAACTATCTAGGTTTAATATCAGACATTCTTTGATCATTTTTCATTCAAGAACAGGAAAATATTACCATTTGATACATGGGTCACTCTTATCTTTCCCTGTCTCTTATCTTTGCAAAGAAATATTTTCCCCCATAAAAAAAGGACATTTGTCCCTTCTTTTATGAATGGCTGCAATGATCAGAGACTTAAATGTCAAACATTGTTCAATCATAGCAGGAATTTAATTGCTAAAGGAAACAGAACTAAAGGGCAATTAAGAAGTGGAGGCAGTATTAAATTATACCACAATTGAGCTCCAATTATTCTGCAAAGAGCCCTAGTACCTGTGATGTAAGAAAGATCTTCCCATTTCAGGAAGCTGAGCTCTGTCACTGCTTGGATATGATATGGCTTTGATACCTCATGAGAGGAAGATGGGATCACAGCAAAGGTTTAATATTGCCGTGTTAGTGATCCCGGAGGTTAAACTATCCAAAGATCTGTTTCACTAAGGATCACCAACACCTCAACTTTGGATCTAATGGGTCAAATTAGAATTAATATAGATATGAGTAACCTATTCAGAATTTGTCTCCTTGAGTTACTTGAAGGAGACAGATAGGCATAATATTGAAAGTAAATTTTAGACTTGAAAACAGACTCAGGATTAAAGAGGGTAATCAATTATATATGCATACATCATAGAGGAGACATTTCATTTTCTTGGGTTATAAAATATACTTCAAGAAAGCTACTTTGTGAAATTGTCAAATACCCTCCCAACCTTACCCAATGCAAACAGACTACAAATGAATCCAGAAATACAATAGTTTCCAAGATCTTCACTAGAAAATCACCACATTTCTTAGTTTCATTCATTGAGCACAATAGAAAATTAAAAGGGGTTCATACGGAGTTCACTGATAATGCAATGACGTTCTTAATCTATATATTAGGACAAGAAGGCTGTCTGTAGTTCCATGCAGGCATTCTCTGTGGCTCTCCTGCTCTGTTACCCACTTGCCCTCTCTCTCTCTTTTCAGGACAGTATATTTACACAGTATTGCAATCTTCCCCATGTGAAAACAGCATTCAGTATATAAATTACAAAAAGAAAGCTACTTACTGAGAATGGGTGAGTCAAGGGAATGCTAAGCAGAACCAGAATTTAACAAAACATTTTGGGTATGGCACATTTTCAAAATGGATATTTAACACAGAACTAAACAAGATTTTTTTTTAACTCAACTGTTAGAAATTTAAGCCCAGATTGTTATTGTTGAAATGGTGTTATCATAGAATCATAGAGGTAGGGTCGGAAGGGACCTTGTAGATCTTCAGGTCCAACCCCCTGCCTGGGCAGGAAGAAAACTGGGCTCAAATGACCCCAGCCAGGTAGGCATCGAGCCGCTTCTTAAAGACCCCCAGGGAAGGAGCCAGCACCACTTCCCTTGGAAGTTGGTTCTAGATCCTAGCCGCCCTAACTGTGAAGTAGTGCCTTCAGATGTCTAGTCTAAACTTACTGTCCAACAACTTGTGGCCGTTATTCCTTGTTATCCCGGGGGGCGCTAGGGGAAACAAGGTCTCCCCCAAACCCTTCTGGTCCCCCCTAGTGAGTTTATAGACGGGGTCATTATAAAAATGACCGCTATGAGAAGGCAACACCCCTGGTTTGTACAGTTTTGTATCATTCCCAGTCCTGGCCTCTGATGAAAGGGACATTTCAAGGAGAAAAGGGCTATAGCCAGGGTATCTATGTAAACTGAAGATCTGCTGATGTTAGAATGGTTCCTTTGTGCACAATGCAGTTGAAACCACTTTAGTGCACCCAAGGCTGCTCTGAATACATGCAGGGCCATACTGGTCCCTGGCCAGCCATAGGATCAGAAATGCAAAGATGGAAGGAATCCACCTTTGTGTCTTCCCCTTTGCAGCCCTCATACCTCATAACTTATGCCCATAACTTAGCTCATAACATATCCTCATAGCTCAGCTGGACTGAATGAGCAAGTGTTTAGTGTTTCAGAATTCTAAAGAGAGATTAGGAATCCTACTTGCATGGTTAGGAAAAAACGGTATTTTTAGTGGAACTGTTTAAGCAAACTCCACAGATATTAGCATCATGCTATATGTATGCAGTCACTCTTTTTCCAAGAAAGACAAAATAGACTTGTCATTTACAAGCTTTTTGTCAGTACATTATTTTGATGGTTGTACTACAGCTATCCAGAGAGAACCATGAATCAGTTGCAGAGGAGCTATGAATCAGTCTTTTACTCTCCAGATATCAGAAAAACAAAAAACCCAAAACATACAAAAAAGCCACCAAACTGAAAATCACAACTAACCTTTGTTTTATTTTGCTGGGTATTATTTGTCTTCATCTGATGTTTCAGCATGTCACATACTCTGAGAAAGAAACAGAAAAAATAAACAAACAAACAAACAAATGAAGCTACATAAAGCATTGGTAAGCTGCTTCTTTCAAACATGTATAGTACAATCCCTCCTCAACACACAGCATTCCGTTAGGATGCAAAATATTATAGGAATCTTATCTGAATTGTTGGTTACAAAAATTCATCTTTCCAAAGCATCATTTTTGATACAAGAGTCATCTGCACTATTCTAATGGATAGATAGGCTGGATCCAGACATTCAGGCACATGCGGTTTGTGGCACTGCAAACCTCAGACCACAAATTTGCAGCATGGGGGCAAAATTTGCTATTGGGAAATCCAGGTAGCAAAAAAACATGCTGCAAAAACAAGCAGTACAGTGTATACCACAGGAGCATGAGTTGGCAGACACAGAGGCTCAGTTCTCCCAGGAGACACTGACTGCTGGTCAGAGTGTCTCCCCTCCTCTAGTTCTGCCTTGGCTCCTTCAGCATGCTGAGAGCCAGGAAGAGCAGAGAAATGGCAGTTTCCCTGAAGCAGGGCATTCCCCCTCCCCCTCTCAAAGCTCTTATGCAGAAGTGTTTGCAACAACAAAAAGTAGCCGCTACTGTTTTTGCTGCTGCAAACATATGCTCCTGGGTGTGTGGATGTTCCCATAAGGTGCATCATATGTGCATGGTATACACTGATGCTTTGGGAGGAAGTGTGACTCCTGAGCTACAGTCCCAGATGCAGTACACAGAATCCAGAGGCAGGACCCTTCATTCTGCATTTAATTTTAAACAGACCAACACCAGGGGTGGAATTAGAGCTATAGGGCATTTATACACATGCTTCGGGAGTGTGTGGGGGGGTGAGGAGGGGTGGGACGGGGGAAGGGCACTTTAATTAAAATGGCTCCAAGAGCCATTCAACTAATTAAAGTGTCCAGAACATCTCATGTATCAGTGTTCCCGCACTTCAAAATGGCAGAGGCGCTTTAACTAAAGTTTGTCTAATAAGCCTTAGTTAAAACACCCCAGCCACCATTTTGAAGTGTGGGGATGCTGATACATGGCTGCTGGAGCATGGTAATTACAATGCTCCAACAGAAAGAGTCTGCTCTGATGTGCTATAATTGCAGCGTGTTGGAGCAGCCTTAATACGTACCTGAAGTGACCAAAAAGCCAACTTTGTGCTGTCCTGATTCTGAGCTGCTCCATAACTCCCAACTAATTTAGACAGCCCTTGGGGCATAGGTTATGGCAGCTTTCTGGATCTGCCTTGTGGAGTCTGACACTACAGTGTAATTCTATTGTACCACTACCTCATACTCTTCTTTGAATGCCAGGGCTTTCAAAGTGATTGACAGGAGCACCACAGGAACCCTCTCTCTGCTGGACGTGGAGCTGTTAGGGTCTCTCTGCACCATTCCAAATAGTTTGATTGGGAAAAAGCCATGGTAAGGATTCCCGCCACATAATTCATTCTAATTTGGAAATTAAAATGAAGTTTCAGCTGCCCATTACTTCTCTTTTATAGGTTCATGCCTGTTCTAGAGAATGCATTCATAAGTATCTTGATCTGCCCCTACTATGTTAGTAATCATATTGCATGTGGTTTCAAATTAGGAAAATGACAGTCATATGGTACTGCTGACATCTTTCAGTTATTTACGCTTGCCCCTCCATCAACATAGTCATATCAGGCATGACTCTGAGCTAGCTAAACCATACTTATGCCCCATTCCATACCTAATCCTAAAAAACCCCACACTGAACAGGGGTTGGGGGTCTGGCTTGGATCAGAGAAATGCAGGGTCTAATCCAGTTTCCTGTTGAGTTCAATGGGCTTTGAATAAAGCCCCTGAAGCTATGCATTGTTTGCATATCCAAAATCCTGTACCCCTGCTAAAGACAAAAAAGGCTTGCATAACATCAAACTGTAGGACTAGAAAGCAGACAAGAGCTTTATGTTAGGAAAAAAAAATCAAAAACCTCATCCATGGATAGTGCTATCCAAGGGAGCATTATTGACACTTCCTTGCATTCACAGGCTAGTCAACACTACCTCAAGATAAATAGAAATGAAGGCAGAGACTAGATAATAGCAAGCAAGTAGTAGGAAAAATTGTTACGTGTACTTTCAAGAGATCTCAGCAGTGCTATCTATGGCTCTCAGCAGATGAAGAGAGCCAAATGTCAATAGGAACTACACGATGCTTTAGCACCATATCATCCAGATTCCTGCAACCTCACAGCATTTCAGTACAGTTATCCTATAAATTGAGAATAATTAAACAGTACGCCCCAGTCTCAGAATTTGGGCTTGTAACTCCATTGGAAGGTTCTGGTGATGTTAAAATGATACTCAAGCTATATTCTTACAACCTAAAGTTACCCCAAACTCAGTAGTACAATAGCCTTAATATGCATAGTTGGGAGGATATTATGCCTTATCTTCCTTCAATTCTTTATATTTAGACAATGCTATTAAATACACACAAAGTGACTATTAAAGCATATTTAATGAACATTAATAATGATAAGCTACTCAGCTGTTTGAAAGTATTGATAAGCTTCATTAAATATACTTACACTAATTAAAATCGCACTGAAGATATTTTTCACATTATTATTAAAATAATTTTTCTCCTTAATGCTTATATTTTGATGCTTTCAGATATGCTTCTTTCTTGATGAATTTTATGACTATCTCAGCTTATTGATGTAACAGTACTCAATAAAACCTCTTTCTATCATGTCAGATAGGCATAACTGTTCCTAGAACTGAATTTCCAAGACTAGAGGCAAGCTAGATGCCTCTGAAATTTAAGTCACTTGATGATACAACAGAGTCAAATCCAGGAACTGGAATACAATGCGAAATTTGGTATGTTTCTTAATTGATTTTATTTGAAAAATATTTTAAATTGATTTTACTTGAAAAATTTGGTATTTTTTAAATTGATTATATTTGTAATTTGTTTTCTGTTTTTATTCCTGAGACAGCCAACTCTATTTCCAATGAAAACAATGGGAAAAAAGATTAGCCAAATTGACAACATGGTTGTGAGCATTTATGTAGGGAACAGCTGCAGTCTTGTAATGATGGTCATGGTAGCTGAAATTATACGGTTTATTTTTTCTGTAAAGCAAGCACTTAGGTGTATGGAACTGCAACAAGTGAGGTGGCTTATGAATATTCATATTGGTTTGTTATTAATGTGTTGTTGTACTTTGCCAAAATTGTCACGGTATGATTGCTAGTTAATAGCAGACTATAAACACAAGTTTGTTATTTTACAGTAGCTCTTGTAAGTTTTGCTCTAGGCACTGAATTTTGTAGAGGAAGACTCAACTTAAAAATAGATAAACCCAACAAACACTTCCTTTCCTATATTTCAGATACAACTTTAGAAATGGTTTATTTTTCCAGCATTTATATTATTTGATTGTGTCTGTTGATTTTGCATTTCTAGTAGTGTGGACAATTAGGTAAATTTCACTTTTGAGCAGCCAAAGTTTCCCAATGTTGTAATTGTAGAATTGCAGATGCTACTGGAGAGAATTTATTTGTTTAAAAAATAAACAATTTTCACCAGAATTTGAAAACCATTGATATAATGGATTAGTCTTTGGATTCATAGAACCAATAGATTGGTTTTATGAAATTCTTGTTTTTGGGACCAGATGAAATTGGCTGCCTTTCAAATGAACACTGAGGCATTGGTTTTTAGACATATAGTATACTAAGGATTGTATAAAGTTGTAAAGGAAAGCATAACATACATAATTTGGCTAAACAAGTTAACAGGAAACATTATGAAGTATAAGTGATTTCTAGAAACTTTCCAATTTACCCATGGTATACCTTACCCAGAATGGACAACTTTAAAACATTTCTTAATCGTCTTCCTTGCAAAATAGATTTACTGTATGTTCTTACATATCACATGCCCACCAAATAACACAGACAATTTGTTTTGGGAAGGCAGAATGAAGGGGGGAAAATATTATTTTTCAAAGTCTTCCCTGCTACTACATGGGTTCACCATGGCTACTGTATGATGACTACATACAGTAGGGCAAAATTCCATCATCAGCATCACTCACCATCTAGCTATAGCTGCAGATCTGGAAATTTAACCCTGTCGCAACCATTGCTGAATTGGCTGAGTCAAAAGCTGCTGCTAATTCAGCAGTGGCTGTGACCATTAGACTTCTGGCTCTGCAGCTGCCCTCCCTTTAAGGAAGAGAGAAGAGCCCTCAGCAGCCATTTCAGCAGCCATTTCCAGTGTGAAAATCAGCTTCCTTGCTTAAAGCATGGAGCCCAATTTTGGACAGATTTTTTTGGGGGAAAGGTGCATGTGGAATGTGATTAGATACAGTAGTTTTAGCATCCAATTGCAAAACGATGTAGTAGTCAGCTTGTGTATAAATGTTATTTAGGAACCAAAGTTCTTCACTCTTAAATAGAGCCTTCACCTACCTGGCAGTGGCACTAGTTAATGTTTATGAAGTTACCATTTTTGCTTGCACTGGAAAGGGAATATACTAGAAGATCCAAAAGCTTTGTGCAATGCAGGTTTCCACCTAGGACTGTTCAGTTACGCTGGCTGGAGAAGAGGGATGCCTTCTTTGAGAGTTAATGTTGGTGGCAATGTTAAATTCAAACAGTTTAACCTCAGAAACAAAATCCAATTCATTCCAGTTAGGCTTGAGTAATCATCTTCTCTGTGATGAATTTCAGCGGGGGGGCATGGGCAGGGACAAAATAAACAAAAAAACCCCCAATATGCTAGCCACAAATCAGGTTAAAAACTACTATGCCCCTGTAGCAGAATGCTTGGTGCTCCTGTTACTTTAAGAGAAGGCAAGCTGCCTGAGAAGCAGCCTGCAGGTGTGCCAGGGGCAATTAGGAGTCATGTGACCTACAGGCATTGATGACGTATAAGGGTTCAATGTTGGGGGGGGGGGGGGGGGGGCACAGCTCTGCACTACCATTTCCCCCACTGCTGCTGGGTGCTGG